TTATAGTGAATCCCGTCAACAGACGTTTATGTGCTGTTCGGCTAAACGGCTCCGTAAGAACTCGGAAGGATAGGGACACACGTCGTTGCCTTTTCCTCGTTTCTGCCTACGCTCTCACTGACTGCAGCTCGGATGATGTGAAAGATGAATTTTACAGAAAGCTTTCTGAACTTCTTCAGAAAGCTAAACGCTCAGACATATTACTCGTAGGGGGTGACTTTAATGCTCAGATAGATAGTTTAAACCAAACAGAAAGGCATTTAGGTGAGTATTTTAGTATACCGGCACAACGAACAGATAATGGTGATCGTCTGCTGCAACTATTCTCAGACAACCGTTTATTTCTAGCAAACACAAATTTTAAGCATAAGGAGAGACATCGTCTAACATGGCGACCCCCTACACCAAATCAACGATGGACTCAGACTATATTGCCATCTGTCATCGTTGGAGAGGGTCGGTAGAAGATTGTCGCTCATTCTGGAGTACCTGCTTGGACTCCGATCGTGCCCTAGTACGGGCACGCATCTGCTTGCGCCTCACTGGACGCAAAAAAAGCCACATTAAAAAGACCCATTAGAACTGAGTTGAGTAACGAAAAAACCAAAAGTAGGTTCCAGGAACAACTGAGGTCACGCTTAAGTAGTTCTGAAAACGAGGTTGACCCAGATGTTGCTTGGGAAGATATACAAACAGCTGTGGAAACAGCAATGAAATCTATTAGTGACTTAAACCACAGAGTTACAAAGAACCAGTGGATTTCTTCAAGGTCTATCACACTGATGGATTCTCGCAAACTCGTCCCATCAGGTTCCGAACATGATGAAGAGCAACAACAAATCAGATCTAGGCTAAGAAAAAGTCTAAGGAACGACCGTGAGCAGTGGTGGGCAACGAAAGAAAAAGAGATGGAAAAGGCGGCGACTATAGGGAACACAAGACAGCTCTACAGACTAATAAAAGAAACTGGAAGTAACAAGTCAAGTGTGAGATTGTTTCGGAAAAAGATGATACTCTCATCTGCTCCCAGTTCAGGCGTTTAGAACGATAGGCGGAACATTTTAGAGAACAGTTCAACTGGCCTTCAGCTACTCTACAACTACCATCCATTCCCAGACAATGTGAATGGAACATTGAAGTAGGTCCCCCAACTCCTGCTGAAGTTCAAAAGGCTATAGTTAATCTGAAACGAGGAAGGGCAGCTGGTCCAGATGGATTGGCTCCAGAGGTCTTTAAGGATGGTGGTCCAATTTTATCGATTAGGTTGACTAATATTTTAGCTAAGATCTGGTAGTCAGACGTTATCCCACCTGACTGGTCTTAACCACTTATCGTCCCAATATATAAGAAAGGGTCAAAATCATCCTGTGATAACCACAGAGGGATTAGTTTAACAAATATAGTATCTAAAATACTAGCCTCGATAATTATCAGACGCCTAACTAAGACTCCTGAACTGCAAACACGAGAGAACCAAGCTGGCTTCAGACCTGGTCGTGGCTGCATCGACCACATATTCACCATTCGTCAGGTTCTAGAACATAGACATACTTACCGGCGTCCGACAATGGTGGTCTTTCTTGACTTAAAAGCAGCATTTGACTCGGTAGACCGCGAGATTCTGTGGCAGTGTCTGTCATTGAAAGGCGTACCCCAGAAGTACATAAGTCTTGTGAAGGCTCTTTACTCGAACACTACTAGTCGAGTCAGAGCTTATGGCGAACTGTCATCTACTTTTGCAACCTCATGTGGTGTACGTCAAGGCTGTTCACTTTCTCCATTTTTGTTTAACTTCATCATAGACTTATTGATAGAAATAACATTTTCGTCGACTGGATTCTCGGGTATTGACCTCCAGCCAGGAGGTCCACTCATCGACTTAGAATACGCAGATGACATAGTCCTGTTTGGTGAAGACGCTGACAAAATGCAGTCTTCTGGTAGCACTGAGCAACAATGCCAGAATGTTCGAAATGCGCTTCTCTCCCTCTAAATGCAAGTTGTTGCTTCAGGACTGTCCTACGTCAACACCTGAACTAAGGATAGGGAGTAAAGTAGTCGAACGCGTTGACAACTTCACTTATCTTGGAAGTCTGATCAGCCCTAATGGGTTGGTGTCTGATGAAATCTCAGTACGAATTCGAAAAGCTCGCTTGGCTTTTGCCGACTTACATCACCTGTGGCGAAGGCGAGATATCCGTCTATCAATAAAATGACGAGTATACTGCGCGGCAGTCCGTTCTGTTCTACTTTACGGCAGCGAATCATGGCCTTTAAGAGTAGAAGACACTCGTAAGCTACTAGTATTTGACCACAGATGCCTCAGAAATATTGATGGCGTCTGCTGGGATCACCGAGTAAGTAATAGTGAGGTTAGAGGCAGGGTATTAGGGAATGATGGTAAATCAGTTGATGAGGTTATGAATCTTCATCGACTGAGATGGTTGGGCTACGTGTTCCGTATGCCCAAACACCGATTACCACGACGCGCAATACTAACCGGTGTTGGGGATGGTTGGAAGAAAGTTAGGGGCGGCCAAACCAAAACGTGGCATCAGTGCCTGAAGTCGCCAACTTGTAGTCTGAGCCATGTTGGTAGATGCAGACTACTTGGTTGGGGTCCGCGTGGCTATCGTACCCAATGGTTGGAGACTCTTGGTGACATGGCTCAGCATCGATCACAATGGCGTAGGTGTATACACTCTCTGTCTTCCCTTAAACTAAGAGATTAAAATCACTTAATATCTTTATTTCTACTAACTAATTCTTTCTTCCTATACCAATTCCTTATATGCAGTCTTTCTCCTATATATTACCACCTTTGACCTAACCACTCCTATGAATCCGGTGTTCATCTTGCTGTGCTAATGAGGTATGGCAACCTGGACCGATGCACATATGTGCCTGGTCCTACGTTGTAGCTGACTGACTGACCAAAAGCACAGAAAGCGGCTGCGTGAAAAATTAAAAGAATATAAATGAGTGGCCCTTTCTGTAAAACTTAGAGAGGCAGGTCTACTTAAATTGAAAGCAACACCACATCACCTATAACTGCGGCACATAAGCTTAGTTTATTCCATCAACTTGTAATCACTACATCTCGATTAAATCGCGTTCCGCCTCATGCTATACTGCAGACTTGCAACTAACTTGTATGCACCATTAGCCGGTAGGTATAAATATAAATAAATAGTCCTTGGCAAATCAGAACATTGATTCTAGAGCATGTCTTACGAATACACTCATGTTTAACGAATTGCTCTTAGCTATCTGTCCAAAATTCACATAATCACGTCTTCTCACGTATTAAAACATTTTTGATAACCATTCATATTTATTAGCAGTATTATTAAATTCTATCACGGATAAGTAATAATGAGGTCGAGAACATATCCCTGTGTCCAAATAAACCGTATAAACTTAATAAATTAACTGAAACACTTGTTGGAATTCCTTACCACGGTTATATCTTTGCTCTTTCACTTAGCCCACTAATGCAGATGCAATTTAAAATCAACTCATACGGACAGTATACCGGTATAAGCATTATCTGACTTTGTAATTTAGACCGAAAATAACACCAATACCAATATTCCTACAATATTGATTGTTTTTATATTTCTAGACACAAAAGACTTGTACAAACTATAAGTTAGGCTATTAACCAACGCCTATTACTACTCATCTTAAAGCGACTTATTAAAACATCTCTACATGGAATCCCTCTCAATTATTGTAATCTCACCTTGTTTAACTCTTAAATAATCTTCACATAGATTTTTATTTTGCGCGTATTAAGAAATAAACCGAACATTTTGAGATTACTACACGCATTTCCCGATCGGTTGCTACCGCCTTCTTTTCGATTTACCTTTCAACTCATTAACACCCGGAAGATTATTGCCATGCTTTGTGGGAGATGGAGTTCAACTGAATCCAATCGAATGGCATGCCTCAGACTTACAGGAGTGGTTATTCTATATGACTGTTCTGTCTCCAGCTTGAATGTAATTGTTAAGATGCGACGAGTTAATGTATACAGTGATGTAACTCCCACTTAAGATCTTATAGATTAGGTGGTTACATCATGACAAATCTAAAGTTTTAGTATTAAGCCTATTATTAGAGCAGTACTAGAAATTAAATAGACCATAATTCTACAAATGTTCTAGTGGTCAGTCGCCTTTTGAAATCAGAAGTTGCGAGAACACCGCCTTATACGGCATTTTCTCGGCACAATCTCATCAGGAACATCCCTAAGGAATCTCACGAGTCGTTACTTCGCGGAGAAATAACAGTGTGCAAGTTGTGCCAGGATCATGGACTTTGAATACACAAGTTCTGTTGTCCTGGAGTGGGAGTTCATAAAACAGTTCTTGAAGCTCAAGAATATCTTGATTCAACAAGTGGTGTGACTAGGATGGGGTTGCTAGACGCCGGTTAATACAGGCCATCTTCCCATCCTAGAAGCGATTTCTGCCAACAGATGTTGGTTGCAAGCTGGGCCCCATATTCATTCGTACAGACCAAATGATTAAGCGTAAAAGCATATTGGAGCTTACTATTACACTCGTGGACTGTAATGACCATGGGAAAATCTTAGAGGGAACAGAGTCCACTGTTGTGTCCCGGTAAGATCAAATAATGGGTAACTTCTGAGAACTATTAGTGGACTAATATTATATACATTCTTATTGTATAGCTATTGATTAACCAGAGTATGTATATGTAAATTTCTCTTATTACAATCTTTATTTTAATCTATAAACTATTATTATACGATTTACTATTCTTAATTTATACCCGGTTTATTAATTACAGTCTCTCACAATCGCAGCCACGTTTTAGCTTAGTATTTTACAAATGGTATTTTATATTTTATGGTATGATGTGGTCTGGTTGGCTGATATAAAAATCACGTATGTTTGAAGTAAACTATTCATATAATGGAAGCTGATGTTGGTGTTCTGGACTGAACAGGCCGAGCTAGGCAGAAAAAATGGATCGATAAGGACGCTAGTCTGCTCATACCGGTCGATACGTCACCGGTTTGGCACAGTGACAAGATTGTATAAGTTGTATTCTGATCGGGAAATAGGTCATCTGATGACCAACCGAGCAAACGTCGCAACATCCAACAACTCGAAAAATATTGTGTGGTTAGTTTGCTTGTCTATTCACACAACGGTCATTCAAATAAACAGGACGAGAAAGCCCACGCGTTCCATAGTGGAAGCATAAACTGCCTATTTATGAAAACTGCAATTCTACTAGATGAAATAGATGAACTGCGTGAACTAAGCAATGCTAATAATGCTCATCTGACAAGATCGTCTGAAACATTTATATTTTCTCAAATTACTGATCAGAAGCTAACAATACCCAGCATTTCTTTATTTGACGATAGCAGAAAAACAAGGATGAGGGACGAAGTGGCTCTGTACCTGAGATCTTGCTTGGTTTCAAATAAAGTATACACTTGTTGTGTTGTTGCTTCCAACCACACAATCCTCATAGCAGAACATGGGATAACTAGAAAAAGATGTTAAACATTTAACATCGTGCGCGATATTCGAACGGGAAGTTTAGTCCTAACGTGATTTGCATATATCAAACTTTTGCTGTGTTCTTACGCAACAAAAGTACCATTTCAGTTCTAAAAAATCTATCCTGAGCTATACGTTCGGTAGATTACTTTTTTTTTTGAGTTTCACTATATTCAATAGTTACCTGTGGTTTTGCCTCAGCTTACTATTCGGTTTTTTTTTGTTTTTCACGTATTGACTAGTTTCAGTTTATATCACTCGTTTTGTCCGTTTTGTCCGTTTTCAGTGTGCATTTTAGTGTTTTTTTTTAAAAGGTCTTAAGCTTTTGCCAGCATCTATAACATAGTTTGCTTCAACACCGTCATGAAAAACTCATGCAAACGTCCGGGATGCCGTTTTGCTGTCACAACTGGCATGCAGTGTGACAACTGCAAAGGTTGGTTTCACGAAGCATGCACAAATCTGACAGCAACTGCTTACAACAAACTCAGCAAGTCAGACCAAAAGTGGGTATGTGTCACGTGCAACACGGACGCAGTAGTCTTGCTGAGTAACATCATTGTCCTACTGACAGGTCTTCGAAACAAGCTGTCAGTTAACTTGGAATACGACAGTAAAAAAACTGATATACAAACAAGAGCGCGCAACGGACTCAAAAATAGGGATGTCGATAGGTATGTCATCGATGGAGCATCCATCAACACTAACGACGACGTGTCGAGGCTCAGTACCATCATTACGTCGACGGTACTAGACTCCCTAGGCAAACTCGGGTCCCCCAGCTCAGGGTCGCTGAACACAACAGTGGTTCCCAAAAACCCTGCAGGCGATTCGACCCACGTTAAGAGAGCCCAAAAGAACCAGGCATCACCGCCTAAGTCGAGCAACCCAAGTGTTGCTGCACGGAAAATAACTGGTGATTTAGTCGCACAGTCTACCCCCAAGACTGTTCGTCCGGTCAATAAAGAGCCCATGATTCATAAACTCACACTGACCTCCAAAAAACAAGTTATTAAACCTGAACCCATCGTGAAACCTGGTAAATTAACAACAGTTCGTGATGATTCTCTCATTATCATGAACCTCGTCGACAATCCTGACCTTCCTCTCAGTCTGCAGGATAAAAACGACAGGATGCTGTGGGGTGAATTGAACAAAAAGCTCGAACTTCCTAGAATAGAGCCTTTGACGGTCACCCGGCTCACTCGAGGAAAGGATTCTAAGCATCTAAATCACCCTAGGCTTCTCCGAGTAACACTTAAGAATGCTACCGACGTAGAGGACGTCTTGCTAGCAAGTCACTTACTGAAATCAGATGGTAACGTAAGAATATTGCCCGACATACCGTACTCTGAGCGCAATATCATACGTAACGTCCCTAAAGAATCTCGCGAGAAGTTCTTCCGCGGACGAAACATAATTGTCCAAGGTATACCGGAAAATGCAGACCCTACTCACTCAAATTCTGACATCAGGGAATGGAAATTCATCAAACAGTCCTTGAGGCTCAAACACATACTGACTCAGCATGTGACGAGACTAGCCAAGAAGGACGGTGATCTTAGACCCCGTCTAATGAAGATAACCTTCCCATCTTCCCACATGGCGGCTGCAGTTCTGGAAGCATTTCGTGCTAATAGACGTCGATTGCCACCTGGAATCCACATGCACCCGGATAGGCCATACGAAGTCAGGACCAAGAACAAAGGCAAGCTGGAGCTGACCATTCCACTTGTGGACTGTCTAAACGATAAAAAAAACGTGTAAAGTACAGGGCCTACCACCTCGGCAAACCTCATATAGGTGGGCTACCTGTCCATTCACATAAGGTTCATACAGAAAAACAGGACGAAGCTCATGCGTTCCAAATTGAAAGCATAAACTGCTTATATATGAACGCTGCGAGTTTACCAAACAAACTGGATGAACTACGTGAACTTAGCAACGCTAACAAGGCCCATCTGATAGGAATATCTGAAACCTGGATATCTTCTCAGTTCTCGGATCAAGAGTTAGCATTGCCTGGGATGACTTTGTTCCGCAACGACAGAAAAATAGGAATTGGGGGCGGAGTAGCCATATACATAAGCTCTTGCTTGGAGGTGCACCAGGTTCACAACCTCGAGTTTAACAATCTTGAGGAATCCATATGGTGCTCTGTAAGGTTGTCTAGTACTTCCAGGTGTCTAGTCGGAGTCATTTACAGGAAGCCAACTGCCGACACCGAGTACGATAGTCGTATGCTGGAAGGACTATCCCGCTCTATCCGTCTCGGTTTCACACACATCCTGATTCTAGGGGACTTTAATCTCCCTAGAGTCAACTTCGCGGAACACACGTACACTGGAGGCGAAAACTCAACTGAAGCTCGGTTCTTCAACCTCATCGATAACTTGGGCTTATATGAAAATGTGAGGTCGGCAACTCGTTGGAGAAACAGTCAAACACCATCGCGCTTAGACTGTGTATTCACTAACGAAGAATTCCTAGTCGACAACCTCTCAATCCTGGCTCCTCTGGGAAAAAGCGATCATGCCGTCATAGCCTTCAGTTTTGTCATCAAAACTAAGCTAAGGTATCCCAACAATAATTTGCGTTGGAATTTTAAACGGCTGAATGTGCCAGCTCTACATGACTATCTACAACAGGTGGTTTGGGATGTTCACCCTCAAATCGATGTGGATGGTCATTGGGACTTCTTACTGCACACGCTCTTATGTGCTACAGACCATTCAGTTCCTCAAACGGTTCCCAAAAGCTTCAAGCCACCTACAGTAATCAAGAACCGTACCCTTCGCCTCCTAAGCCGCAAACGGCACTGTTGGGCGGAATACAAACGAACTAATAATGATGGAGCTTATAGGCAATACAAACATATCAGGAACACATGCACGAAGGCTATAAGAGAAGACAGGCTTCAGTACCAAACAAAGCTTATGGACAAATTCGCCTCTAACCCTAGAAGCCCATTCCGTTATGCAGCCTCTCTTCGTCAAGCCAAAACAGGAGTTTCTCAACTGCTAGGTCCTAACGGCCCGACCAACAACGATGGCGACGCCGCTAACCTTCTGGCGGCCCATTATTCTCAAACATTTCAACCGGCTGATATCAACTTTATTGACGACAGTTTCATCTGCAATTCCACAGGACTTTCTGAAGTGGACCTAAGCGCTGACTTGGTGTTCCGGAAACTGCAGCACTTAAGACTTGACACTTCTCCTGGCCCGGATATGGTTCATCCTGCCATACTGAGGGAGGCAGCCTTAATCCTGGCAACGCCGCTTAGCGTGATGTTTTCACACTCGCTTAGCCGAGGCAAATTACCGGAAAATTGGAAGTTGGCTCACATCACACCAATTTTCAAAGGTGGTCGACGCAATGAACCTTCAAGTTATCGGCCGGTAGCTCTTCTGTCGTTACCTTCAAAACTCATGGAGTCCCTGATATGCGACGGTTTAAATGACTATCTACTGTCCTTAAATTTCTTCTCACCCCAACAGCATGGTTTCAGGAAGGGTTACTCTTGTATAACCAACCTGCTGACTGCGGTGGACAGATGGACAAGCATCCTTGATCGCAAGGGAAAGGTTGATGTCATTTACCTTGATTTCTCAAAAGCTTTTGATAAGGTTAACCACTTGTGTCTTATCAACAAGCTCAAACGACTAGGTATCAAACCACCTCTAATCGACTGGCTTACTTCATACCTAAAAAATCGACACTTTAAGGTTAGGGTTAATTTCACTTTATCTCAAGCTATGGAATGTCCTAGTGGGGTCCCCCAGGGCTCAGTACTAGGGCCTCTTCTCTTCTTGATCTACATAAATGATCTTCCTCAACAGGTAACGTCAGACTTATTACTTTTTGCCGACGACGTGAAACTTTGGAGAGAGATACGCAACCAAGACGATATACAGGCACTTCAAGATGATCTGACTCGACTTCAAAGTTGGGCAGACGATAACGGACTTACCTTTAACACTTCTAAGTGTAAAGTAGTCCATCTGCGACATGTCGCAAACTACAGTTACAACTTAGGAAACACCTCTCTAGTAGTATCCCAAGTCGAAAAAGATTTAGGAGTCCTGGTGCCCCATGACTTAAAGTCTTACGCTAACTGTGACAAAAATGCCTTCCGAGCAAACCTTGCACTGGTAAGGTTGAGGCGCATTTTTGGTCAGTTTGACGGAAGAACGTTCCACACAATCTTCAATAGTTTCATCCGTCCCCATTTAGAGTACGGAAACATAGTACTCCCCCCCTCACTCCAAAAGGATAAGGTCACTTTGGAGCGTATCCAACGGCGAGCCACGAAATCAGTTCGAGGACTCAAATCTAAGCCTTACGAAGAACGCCTTCGTTCACTAGACCTTTACCCACTAGAATATAGGCGTCTTAGAGGTGATTTATTAATGGCTTATAGTATTCTTAACACTTCTGGACATCCTCTTAAACACCTACTTAAGCTTAGTTCGAACAATAACCTAAGGGGTAACACCCAGAAACTGGAAACACAACATAGCAAGACGGAATGTAGACACAACTTCTACTCCTTAAGAGTTGTCAAAAGCTGGAACTCGCTGCCGGCCGAGCTAGTCCAAGCGACTTCTCAGGAGTCCTTCAAGAGGCAACTTGACCTATTCTTAAGGACCAAGGACAGCATCACACTATGATTTACCAATTTCTTTTCCTCTTTTATTGTTAACATACCTAGGTTCCTGCCTGGAGGATTTGGTGATCCCCTGCTACTAGACACGGAAGCCTGTTAAGCGAAAGCTTCTTCTATTCCGTCCACAACCATTTGAACCATTTGAACACGAGCAGAAGACCAACAATCGTGAACGCGGAAACATTTATTCATTTAATCGGATGGTATGACTCGGCCTCGCAAGCATGGCTATTTTCGTGTAACCCCTTACCTCCCCACATTATATATAACATTCTATCTCCGGCCAAAATTTGTACTTCCTAAGTGCTAAACATTATATTGTTGTGTCATGAAATGACGATTCAGAATAGACAACAATGGGACTTTCATTTAAAATCTTATAGTTGTGTAGTCACACTATGACGAATCTACGATTTTAGGATGAGGTCTATTATCATAATAGTACTAATAACGAAGTGAACCGTAGTTCTGCACCCGCAAGAGTTTATCAATTATGATGAATCTGTATGTGTTGTGTCTTTATGGCCCGCTAGTTATCACGTGATTTATTCGCCAATCAAAATACGACTTATTCGCTATTGTACTGTACTAAACCAATGGAGTTCGTCCGGTCTGATCAGCTTAGCGTCTTATTGGTCCGTTGCTCGCCTAGCCCGTCCAGCTGATTCCAGAATGCCAACAACATCCTACACTATGCGAATCATTTATTTCAGACATACTGGGTTTGTATACCAAACAAGCAGACCGCAACGCAACATAAAATAGGAAATACCATTCATACACAATAAAGCCAAAAAGTGGCTGTGAACGTGAGAGACAGTAATTAATAAACTGAATATAATTTAAGAACAGTAGATCGTACAATAATAAATTATAAATCTAAATAAAGCTTATAATAAGGGAAATATACACATACATATAATCTAGCTACTGAATAGTTATACAATAAGAATACATAGATAATATTAGTCCATTAATAGTTCTCAGAAGTTACTCTTATCTTAATCTCCAATAAGATATAACGGTATGGTGCTCAGTAAGATTGTCTGACACATCAAGGTGTTTAGTTGGAGTCATCTACAGGAAGCCTACAGCTAATATAGAGTTTGGAAACCGTGTGCTGGGAGGATTATCCCTCTCTACTCGTCTCGGATACACTCATATCATGGTTCTAGGAGACTCCATTCTTCCTGCAGTCAACTTCTTTGGAAATTACACATTACACCAAGTTTCAGTGGAGGTCAATGCAGCGAATCCTCGAGATACAGGCCGGTAGCACTTCTCTCAATGTCTTCAAAAATTATGAACTTTTTGATATCCAACGGTCTAAGTGATTATTTACTATCAATAAGCTTATTTTCGCCCCAGATGCACGGTTTCAGGAAATGTCACTCTTGTATAACCAATCTGTTGACCACAGTGGACAGATGGACAATCATCCTTGACCGAAAATGGAAGATTGATGTCACATACCTTGACGTCTCAAAAGCTTTTGATAGGGTTGTAGAATTATGGTCTACTATGATATTAGTACTGCCCTTATGATAGACCTAGTCCTAAATTTGTAGATTTGTCATGATATAACTGCCTAATCTATAAAATCTTACGTGGAAGTCACACCATCAACTACACCAACTCACTGTATCGTATCAATTACCAATACATGATGTAGAACAAGGTTAGGCTAGAGAAAGAACAATATATTTAATATGAATAGAAGATATAAAGTAACATTGAGATGGACCACGCCTGCATGGACGAGCCATGCCATCCGATCAAACCCAGTCCATTCAATTCCTTCTCCGCGCCTTCTCCATTGTTAGGTATTTCCCCGAGTTAAATATTGAATATCTATTTTCTGAGTAGTATCGTGCTAACAGCTTTGTGGATTGTGTGGCTATTGTCCAATGCTACTACAGGGTCAATCACATGCCTTATCAATAAGATCAAACAGCTATATATCAAATCTCCATTAGTTGATTGGCTTACTTCATATCTAGCTAATCGACTACTTAAGGTCAGGGTAAACTTAACTTCCTATCAGGATGTGGAATGTCCTAGTGGGGTCCTTCAAGGTCCACTACTGAGGACTCTTCTTTTCTTATTTCACATAAACGATCCTCCACTGCAGGTATCGTCAGACTTATTACTTTTCGTTTATGACGCACGCAACCACTTAGAGTGAGGAAACAGTGTTTTCTCCCTCACTCCAAAAGGATAAGGACATATTAAAATGTATCCGACAGCGACCCACAAAATCAGTTCGGGGGACTCAAATTCAAATCTTATGAAGAGCGCCTGTAATCGTTAAACGTTTACCCATTAGAGTACGGGCATCTTAGACTTGACCTTCCTGAACGATTCTGAGCATCCATTTAAGCTTAGTCCCAGCGCAAACCTTAGGAGTAACACCCAGAAACTGGAGAAACAACACAACAGAACAGACTGTGGGAACATCTGTAGTGGCATTGGACAATAGCCACACAATCCACAAAGCTGTGAACACGAGACTACTCAGAAAATAGATATTCAATATTTAACGCGGAGAAATACCTAAAAATGGAGAAGGCGCGAACAATGAATTGAATGGACTGGAGTTGATCGAATGGCATGGCTCGGCCATGCAGGCGTGGTCTCTATTCATATTAAATATATTGTTCTTTCTCTAACCTAACTTTGTTCTTCATCATGTATTGGTAATTGATACGATACAGTGAGTTGGCGTAGTCGATGGTGTGACTTCCACGTAAGATCTTATAGATTAGGCAGTTATATCATGACGAATCTACAAATTTAGGATTAGGTCTATTATTAGAGCAGTACTAATATCATAGTAGACCATAGTTCTACATTGGTGAGCTCAACTAAAGAAACGCAACCTAATATTATTAATCCTTATTTCCACTTCAACTTTCTCGATCGATTTTATATTTATGTTAACCCTGTATTCCAATAGTCCTCTGATTAATGCTCACATGCATTATCGTAATGTTATATTGATTAGTCCTCATGACAAACTAGCTCAATCGATAATAAAAACTGGTCGTCTATATTAACTAATTAGCTTTGATGATTTGTTAACAAGCTGTAATAGCATTTACATGCTTCAGCGACATAGTCTTGTTTAAACATCAAGCTCTAGCAAATATGACCTGTAAATAGCGTAAATATACATTGACTAACAATGCGATCAAGGACTAAATAGTTATCTGGATCTAATTCTCAGTGTTCCTTCACTTAACACCTCATCCTGTTTTAAACGATGCACTATCCTGTAATATCTTTTCATCTGACCACTGCCTGCCTAATTTCATATTCTCGAGTTCCATTGCCAAACAACGAAGATGACTACTCCAAAAACATACGGTGAGTTCCAGCTATAAGTTTTCTGCAATCATAAGTTCATTTTAGATGGCACACACAATTATCTGGATTCATTCAGTTGTTCTGATCAGAGCGAGTCCCAAAGACCTCAACAGCATCAAGCACCCTGGAAGTGATTGCCATACTGTATGTTTTATTCTGGATGCTTTTGGATCATTACTACTCCTCACGAATGGCGTTATATATGTCGTCCACTGAATAATCTAATTTTCAAAAATAATCCAGGCGAGTTCAACTATTTTACTGGATGATTTTTTTTACTTAACATGTATATGTTTTCCGGTTCCTTTTGCCATATATTTGTAAGTGTCCCTAGGCTAAATGCAGTAACTTCTTATGGAATGTTTATAACGCATCATATTCCTGCCTGAAGTTTCACAAGCAGTCTTAACTTTAAAACTATTTTCTGGTCATGTTCATTATTTTTAAATCGTCATATACGTCAACAACCTGCATGTTAACCTGGCCCATACATACGTTACACTATATCTCCATGTCTTCTAAATTTAGAAATCATCTGAATCGCCTTTAACATTTATCAATAAACCCATCATAGTCGTTGTTGCTAATCGTATTTGGGTTTATGGATTAGTTTATCATATTAGCAGCCTAAAATGCGAACATAGTTTAGATAATAAGATTAAAAATTTAGGTACTATCAACTGCACTAGTGAAATAACTAAATCCCCAAGTAGCTGTTGGCTAAACAAACGTTTAAAATCAAAACTCCGTAGCCTACTAGAATGAACACTAAACGAATATTTCTGAATTGAAATTTATAATTAAATTAGGCGTCTCGGATTCTATAACGTTATAAATTTCTGATGATTTTGAATCACCTAAAGCAACAATACCTATTTTTCCACTGACTTGTAGTGACTCACGTTTATCACGAGAACACGACTGGTTTAATAAAAACAATTATTATTATAACCAACTGTACCAGTGTTTGTTTTAACGTGCTTTTGTTTGACTGTGCTAATGACAGCTATTTTGTGCTTCCATTCTTTCGCTTACACTTCGATTGTAACTTCGCGCGAATTCGGTTACGTTCTGTAACCAAGCTTGTATCCTGGCACGATCTCGGTATCCTTTCGATGCCACGAGATCGCCAGCAAATAAACATCGACTTGGTCCATTAATTGCCTTCTGGTATTCGGCTTCTCGGGGATTTTATGGAGTCATTTGGAACGAGCTTCTTACGCCTGCTGATTCGCTTGGCACGTGTTTCCTGGTAGCGGTGTTCACAGTTAATCTTCAACTTGACGCCACGCTACAATTGGTAATCCCAATTCGACTACAATTGGTGAGCCGTATTTTGGAACACGCCTCAGCTTCTGATCAAATCTTCCAAAGAAGCCAATTCGGTGAGTCTATGATTTATCTATCCACGTCTGTCGTATATTTTCATATTTTTAATATATAATATACGCGACATGACGGATAACGATAAGAATAGTATTAATATAATAGACTCACACGTATGTGCACCGAATCCTTGTCACTTTTTATTCGCGTGATGAATTCCACGCTTTATTCGAGAAATGTTACCCTATTAACGATTCTCCTCGCTGACCCGGCTGCTTGGTACGGAATGCATACGCATAAGCATATCCGTCTACCACCCAGCACCAAATGGTTAAGTTGAACGGTTTCACTGCCAACTTAAAAGTGTTCTACGAGCACACGAAAACGGCAACTGGCACGAGACCATACCGCTCGTTCTTTTAGGGGCGAGAACGAGCTTAAAGGCAGATATCCAATGTTCCGCCACTGAACTTGTATACGGCACGACATTGCGTCTGCCCGGAGAATTCTTCACACCACGGAGCAGACCTAATTTCGGTAAATCAGACTACGTCCATCGACTGTCTGCATTTATGCGAACGCTGTCTCCGGTGTCAACTCGAATACAACATCGACAGGTCGCTCTCCCTCGAGAGTTATCTACCTGTTCACATGTTTTCATACGAGTAGATTCGGTACGCAAACCTTTGCAACAACCTTACGAAGGCCCTTTTCGCGTGATCGCTCGTCACGAAAAGACCTTCAAGGTTGATCGACACGGCCGCGTCGAAATCGTCAGCATTGATCGTCTCAAACCAGCACACGTCGATGACAGTGCCCTATCTGACAACCTGAGATTCAATGCTAGACCTAGCAAACCTACTAGCGGGATCCTCAAATCATCTTCAGGTCCCACGCTAGATGCATCTGAGACCTCATTCTCACGTCCTGGTCAACAGCACGCGTCATCTGCATCGTCTACGGACGAGACAACAGTCTCACGTCCAGATCAGCAGACCACGCCGCCTCTGACCTCGGATGAGATTGCAGGCTCACGCGACGCGAACGAGACTGCCGTCTCACGTTCCGGTCGCCGAGTACGGTTACCCGTACGCTTCCTCGACTAGTCGCACAGTCGACAACCGATACGGTGTAGGAATATTCCTATGCTACTTGTATGCTACACTCTTCTTTTTTGATTTTCTTTTTGTTTCCCGAGCCCACGCCTTCGACCATCTCCGTTGGTTCCGTCGACTTCAGTCAACTTTGGCGAAAGCTGGCCTGATCACCCATGCTCTTGTCAACGTACTCAGTCGATATATTGGTTTCGAATGCTTGGCATATGCTTGGTCCTGAACATGGTCGTTATGGTCG